ATAAACACAATGCAGATATAGAAGTCAGGAATTAATATTAATGCTAGCTAACCTGTAAGTTTTGTTTGAATTGTGATTGTTGTCTACTGATTGACCCTTTTCTTTACTATACTATATTGTAATACAGTCTCTGCTCTCATTGTACTTCATTGTCTTATTTTCTTAGTTTTTTTCAGTCTGGACTGGTTCATCATTCTCTTTTTGCTTTTCATCACTTTGACATTTTGAAAGTACTTGCTAGTTAGAATATCATTCATTTATGTGTCTGGTATTTTCTCATGGTCTGATGAAAGTATATGCATTTTTGTGAGAGACACCTGACAAAAAGTGGTATCATAGGAGTGATAATGTCATTACACTCCAGCGCACAGTGCCAGGGAGTACATACTAATTGTCCCTTTACTGGTGATCTTACCTATATCTCTTCACAGTCTCTCCATTGTTTAAATTGACATACCACTGGTGATGCAGTCATTGGTTAAGAAGGTGTCTGTTAGGGGCTGGAGAGATAGCACAGCGGGTAGGGCGTTTGCTTTGCACGTGGCCGACCCGGGTTCGATTCCCAGCATCCCATATGGTCCCCAGAGCACCGCCAGGAGTAACCCCTGTGCATCGCCAGGTGTGACCCAAAAAGCAAAAAAAAAAAAAAAGGTGACTGTTAGGTTTCTACATTGTTAACTTGCTCATTATTCTTTTGTGATAAGTATCAAGTGGGGAGATAGTTTGAGATTATATAAATATCCTGTTTCTCCTCACACTTACAGTATTCCATTGATAATTCCAGCTTGATCAGAACTGTATAAGTTTAATTCGTTTGGTTGGCATCTTTTTGTTTTGGACTGACAGACTTTTTTCCCTGTTATAGATAGAAGAGAACCCCAAAAAATCAGTGTAAAGGTAGACTGAGTGAAATAGAACTTGTTTTTTTTTGGGGGGGTTGGACCACATCTGTGGTGCTCACAAGACTGTCTTTGGCTCTGTGCTCAGGAGTGACCCCTGTTAATGGTTAAGGCACCAGAGGTGTCTGATCTGGCCCCATTTCTTTTTCATTACAATCATTATAAACATGGCATAATACAAGATCCTGTAATAAAACTTTGATTAAGAAATCCCTTATTCTTCAGTGCCATATACTTTAATACATTTTTAAAAAGGTAAAGGTAAAGGCCCTCCTGTTAATCGTCGATTTGCTCGAGCGGGCCCAGTAACGTCTCCATTGGAGACTTTGTTGTTACTGTGTTTGGCATATCGAATACTCTCGGTAGCTTGCCGGGCTCTCCGAGAGGGGCAGAGGAATCGAACTCGGGTCGGCCATGTTGGCCGCTTGTAAGGCGAACGCCCTACCGCTGTGCTATCGCTCCAGCCAGTATATTTTATACTAGCAAAATAAACAGGGATGTTAGGATCAGCTAAAAGCTCAACAAGTTGAGTTCATGTAGTTCAGTTTCCTACACTGCCGGATGCCACCAGGAACAACTGAGCACTGCTGGCTCTGACAACACCCCCACCCTCTCCCTGCCACCCAAACCAATAAAAAGACGCTAGAGAAGTAAACAATACAGGTCAGGTTAATTGTGGAGTTTCCCAGAATAGTTCTCTTAAAATTGCTTTCAATAAGGTTTTCTTTTTTTGGGTCAAATATTGAAGCCTTTTTAATTCAGAGAACCGATCACAAATTTAAGTGTTTCTGTGTTTTGTCTTCTTAATCCTGAAATTAAATTTTTAATAGTTGATGTATGTTTTTTTTTTGATGTATGTTTTTAATGAATGCTGTTTGCCTTTTAATTTATTGTGGCTTAGCTACTCTAAAATGTATTTTTTGTTTTTCTATTTTACTTCATCTAATGCCTTCGTCTGCTGAGTATGGCACAGTTTAGTTATTTTTTTTTCCTTTTAACAGATAACTTGACATAATAGGCCTAGTAAAGTAACTTGAATATGAACAATATTTTTGGAGGATATACTTTCCATAAGGATGAAGAGAAACTATATCGACAAATCTTGGAATTTTGCTGCATGGTTTGGGCTTCATCTAGCTACGCACAGTGTTTACCCCTGACTGTGCTCAGGAGCATTACCAGCAAGGGTTGGGGACCCATATGTGGTGCTGGGGAATCAAATTCAATCAATGACCTGTGTACAAGGCAAGCATCCTGCCTGCTGTACCCTGTCTCAGGCCCCTGGCTGTTAGGAGATTCTAAGAGGGTTTTTCCATTCTCACTACAACTTTAAGGAAATTGCTTTTCATGATTAATTGATATTCTCACATGTTGTGCATTTATAAACGTCTCAGGCTTTCTTTATTGTTGTTTTTAAGGTATATTCCATTTGACAGTACTGATGAGGTTTATGGATTAAACTCTTTTCTACCATAATAAATACAACACCTTGGCTAATTAGTTATAAGGAATCAGAGTTATTGTGTTTGGTTGTTGTTTTGCTTTTTTGTTTTGGTGGCGGGAAAGATAGCTCACTTCTTCAAATACAAAGTTTCAAATGGAATGTTATGAAGCAAGCAAGTTTGTTTTCTTAGTAATTTTAATCTAGAAATGTACATTAGAAACTAGTTGGGAATTTAGCGTCTCATCTTTGGATAATGACCTTTGAAGTTTCTGCTGATCCTACTTTGATGATTTCAAAAAGAGATCCATGATAGTTCATGAAAGCAAGACTTTCCATAAGGTTTTTATTTACATTAGAGTTAGAAACTCAAACTGACTGGTGTCTATTTTGTATATTAATTAGCCATTTATTAAAAATTCCTTTTCTTTTTATTTCTTCATCGCTTAATTTAAAAACTTTGAAATTACTTAGTGTGCCAAGCACTCATCTAAGGGTTGGTAATAACAGAGACGGATTCTTTTAGGGATGTTCCTTCATTTTCTTTGGAACGCCAGCTGGAAGTGTTTTTAGACCATTGGAAGGATTGTATGAAATTCTCTCTCTTCAAAGAAGTGCCTTATAACTTATAATAGTGAGTGATAAAAGATGAATAAGAAAAATATTATATCTTGCTTCTAACAGCGTGGAATATCTTATTTTATGAATAATTTATGAATTTGTGAATTAGTATGCTCATCTTCTAATCAAGCACAAGTGAATAAAAACATAGTCTTTATAGAAACATGTTATCTTTAATTTTACTACTTAAAAATAAGGTATAGCTCTCTTCACATTAAAATGCTTAAAACTAATAAGCAATATATATTTATTTAATATAATGTTGAGGATATTGTAACTAGTGATTTGATGTACATTTCAGAAAAATTTCTCTGGCATTTAGATAAACATAGTTGAAATTTGTTCTATTTGAAAATAATTGGATTTTTTAGTAAGTATAAAACTTTAAATATTTGTGGAAATGGTTTTCTTAATATAGGTTAATAGGTTTAATTATATTGATTTGTCTTCTTTGTGGCATTTTTACATTGCTGATTTTGTTAGCTATGGCTTGCAATTTATTCTCCAGTAGTTGAAATGTAAGTACTGCATGGAAATATTTATTTTTTACCCTACTTGGGAGATATCACATAGGAGAAATGCTGTCTATCAAAATAGAATTGGGTCAGGTCCTCCTGTATCATTATGAGTCCCATCGATAGTCTTGCAAAGGTTGTTCTTTCTCATTTGAATGAAGAGCTCATTTTGAAAGGGTCTTTACAGTTTTTTTGTAAATGGTGTTATCGAACAGTTCTTATAAATTGTTAACCCCTGAAGAACAAAGATACCAGCTCTCTTCAGTGATTCAAATTGTATAAATTAATCAAATTGTTATTTAGGAGAAAGTGCTTATTCATTTTTGGGTAGAAATATGTTGAGTCTACAGGTTTTGGTACTTTAGGCAAAATAAAGAAGTTACATTGTGAAAGTAATCTGACTTGGGAGAAGTTATACATAGATTTACTTCTTATTCAGCTATACTTTAACTTGCTCTGTAACCCATATTAAGCAATGTAGCACTGTCCTCCGTTGTTCATCGATTTGCTCAAGTGGGCACCAGTAACATCTCCATTGTGAGATTTGTTGTTACTGTTTTTGGCATATTGAATATGCCACAGGGAGCTTGCCAGGCTCTGCCGTGCAGGCAGGAAACTCTTGGTTGCTTGCTAGGCTCTCTGAGAAGGGTGGAAGAATCAAACCCGGGTTGGCCACATGCAAGGCAAAATGCCCAGCCTGCTGTGCTATCACTCTAGCCCATATTAAGTACTTACTTTATTTTAAACTTGTTGTATTTTTAATTTATACATACAGACAAATGAAGTTTTGAAGGCTAACTTCAAACTCCTTTACTGTAGGAGAAATTTTAACTTAACACAAAAGTTTTGAGTTTTGTTATATTTTCATGGGAATAGTTTATTATTTTCAAAGTGATGTGGGCTATAAAACTTTAAAAATACTCTAGGTATGTCTTCAGTTTCATAATGGATGCTCTCTGTTTGTCATGTGTTTTTAGTCAGATATGTTTTTATTACTAATTACTGTTCATAAAATGAAGGGAATCTGGAAATATACAAAATCATATCTTGTGTGTATTAATGTTAAATGTATTTTGAAGTAGTTAAGTTTGACTGAGATGTTATTAGTTTGGAAATCTAACAATTTTTATGTCTGTATAGAAAGACATGGAAGAGAAATTTTTTTCCAAAGAATTAGAACTCAGCAATAATTGTTTAATAAATAACTTTTTAAGTGCCCATCATTTTGTTAGCACTTCTTTACACCATATTTGTACAATGAAAGTACAAATAAAGTGTGATTTTTAAGATCTTCTCGTCTCTTAGAGAGCCTCCTCTTAAGAATTCTGTGTAATAATTTGTTAATCTACTTTGTATTTTGGATTCTGGGAAATAACAATTAATTAGTACATTTCTTGAGAATATTGAGTATTCATTTCTTTTTCTAATTTGTGTTCCTTTCTTCTTGTTATGCCTCATATATCTCCTCAATATGATTATATCATAAAATACTTTTTAAAAGATAGTTTAAAAATACTCAGACCTTAGTATTTAAAACCTATCAGGAACTTAAAATGAAAACAGTTTTCATTTATGATCATAAGGTACTTTCATAGTTACTTTTTTGGTTCCTCTTGCTAAGGGGCAGTTTTTCCACTTTCTTTTAGATTTCTGTTTTCATTTCTGGAGTGTTTAGAACACATATATTTGATGGTTAAATTCATAGGTTTTCTTAGTCCAAATTTTACTTTTCACTTATACAGAATTGAAAATATTCCTAAAGTGAAAGAGTAAGCTTGTTCTTTCATCTGTAGTTGTAAAAAATTTAGTGTAAATGTTGTTAGGTAATGGCATAACCATTCCTTTTCAGCTTTTGGTATATTCCACCCTGGCTGCAAAGCCAGGAGGAAGTGAAGGCATTAGAACACTAACTTTGGTGTTGCTACCTTCTTAGTGCTGAGACTATATAACCTTTGTTGGTTGATAGAGAACAAGAGACACAATCCTCGTTCCACTAACAGGTAAGGAACTGTTGTGATAGTTGGTGAGAGATTATGTGATAGTAATTATTTTTCTTAATTTATCTCAGAATACAGCTTGTCATTGAAGTAGGATAGTGTGACTGTTCTGTACAGCAAGGATATGCTGTACCTTTCTATGGAGAATGAGATTTGAAATGATAGGGATATATCACTCTGTGCCACATAGTATAATTGATCAGTTTTCATTGTTAAAATTTGTCTGCAGTTCCCATATATTTTAAATACGTATTTGCCTATCTTACTCTCCTTTCAGCTTTTCCTTGATCAGATGCTATGTGCTTTGAACTTCCTTCTCTTTATTTACCTTATTTCTGTGATAAAGCAAACTATTTTCCAGTATCTTTATCATCATCTATTATTTGGATGTATCTTACTGCTTTAAATTTCTGCATTGTAGCCAGTAATGATTATTTCCTGGTCTTTCTTGACCCAAAACAAAATGATCAGATATGTTAAAAACATTTTGAGTCTGTTTAACTTAAGTCCCCTATTCTGCCCTCTCACTTAGAGACAAGTCCTTTAAGAGTAAATCATAAAATCTTATTCAGTGACAGTAATCATAGCTTGATAAAATTCAGTTTTAGCTTTTGTTTCGTTATCATATGGGATGGCAGTCTGACTAATTCTTTAGTTACAGAGTTTTAAAAACCAAGAACGATTTCACCTTCTTATACAATTCCCAAAGTTAAGCAGTTTTCCTGTTTAATGTGCTTGATTTTTCTATTTCTACATTTTCAATCCATCTTCTCACTCTTTGACAGAAGAATTAATTGGAACTCTTCTTAATGGTATATGAGAGGTTGAGTTCCTTTCCGTGTCCCTTTAAGACTACTACCTTGCTTCTAGTCATATGCCTTTAAAAAAATTAGGTCTTCTACTCAGTTTTGCGTGGTTTGTCATAGAGGGTGTTATGGCTTAGACCAAAGTAGGTCCTTTCTTAATAGCTACCGAGAAATTAATCATTTGTGGTGACAGACTTCTAAAATTCAAATTAAGAAGACACAAAAGAAAGTATGCCCAAAGGTAGCTCCTTTTTATCCTGAGGATAAGTCATTACAAACTCGATTGATCAGAGAATGTAATTTCTTAATAAGAATTTTTTCTTAAATCTATATTCAGCTCTCTATTTCAGTGCTTCTCTCCTACCAGAGGTGCAAGGAGTGATCCTAGAACCACAGATACAGCCAAGACCACGGAGAGCTTTTGACGTCAGGGGTCCACTTTCTCCACTGAACCCTTGGAGGCAGAATATCCAGCTTCTGGAGAGAGTGGGAAAGGATAATAAACAAGTGGGTGCTTTCCATTATTTACTTGGGTTTATTTATAGATTGGAGTGTCCTTCCATTTATTGCCCATTATTGGTAAACTCCTTGAGTTCTTAAAAGAACCAAGTGGGGCTGCAATCTGTTTGTTTTTCTAAGAATGCTAACCTAGTGCCCATTCAAAAAAGAGACCCAAATTTTGTTCATTTTCTCTCCAGATAATTAAAGCAGGGGATGATTTGGAGCACTTGATTTGATGAATGCCTGTGTAATCCACAGGAATTTAAACAGGAAAATTTTGCCCATTTTAGCCTTTAATGTTATTAGCGGACTTCTAAGTGCTCTTTTATATTTCAGTAATTAAGAAGTTTCTATATTCATCTTTGGAGAAGCGGGACATCTGGACTCTCCTAATTTACTTAGTCTGGTGTCCAGGTTGTATACTACCGTTTTAGTGAGAGCACTTGGTCTTTTCCTACTTCCAACTTTAGGACTTTGTATTAATTAGATCTTCTAGAATATGGAATGATACTATGGTTTTACTGTCAAATCTAGGCGTCATTCTTTAATAAGATTAAAATGAATGCATACGAGTTTCAGGATATGATAGTCATGAAAGCTATGTTAAATGTACTCAAAAGTAGTTTTTAGTCCCTAGGATTGATATTATTTGTGGCGAAAGAGCCTTGTAGATTCCCCCAGATCATTAAGATGGTTTTCTTTTAGTTTCTTGGATGCCAAGAGTAGGATTCTAGGAATTTCTTATCATCTACAATGGGTAGTACTTGAACTTAGTGTCTGTGGCAAGATTTCATTTTTCCTTGGTAGATTCCTTCTGTGACTCCAGGTATCTTGATAATGGGAGACCGGTTTATTTGTTCTCTAATTGCCCAGATTTCTTTCAACTGGTAAACATCATGCTTCTTCAGCAAAAGGAACTCTTCTAGCAGAGCCTTCATGGATGATATCTGTCACACATGCAGCACCTGCAGTTTGGAAGGCAGTGGTGAACGGAGCCATGCAATATATCTAGAAGACACCAGGATGAGAGAGCCACCTGATGTTGTCATTTATAAACTTTAAGATTTACTCTGGTGTACTCTTGGTCTGAAAATGGAAAGGCTCAAATAATAAATTTTTTTTTCTGATTGGAATTTTACATGGCCATGAGATAATTCCATTCTATTTAGAAGACGGAAATAGAGGAAGCATGAGAGACTCCTTTCTTTTAAAAGAGGCTCTCTGTGTCTGTCCCACTTAAGATTTATGGGATTGAAAATCACCAGAAATGAATCAGGCAAACATTTAGTTGCATAGGACACCTAAAATAATGAATCTTTAGTTGCCTGATGCTGATAGTAAAGGGTGAACTTCTTAATTAATACCAAATTACTTTTAATATTAAGATATACTCTTAGCTTATCTTTTTCTGGTCTTGAGCCCTACTCTTATTTGTCAGTAAAGATTCCAGTACAGGAGCAAAAAAAAAAAGACATCTTTTGAGATGAAGGTAGCTGAATAGGTCTTGTGAAGTAGTAAATACCCTCTAAGCTTATGGTTTTCTGCATTGAAGGCATATATAAAGTTTGAACAATGCTGAAATAAAGCAGTGTTTTCTAGAGCAAAGGCAATTAGTGGATAAACCTCTGTGTGAATAACTATTGCCACAGTAGTTCCCCAAACTATTGATTGATAAAAGTAGTTATCAATGTTTCTATTTCTCATTGGTAGCTAATCAGTTAAAAGCTATTAAAGAGGTTTTTAAAACTTGTTTGATGCTACCAGTTTTATGTAGTATAAATTTCAAGTATAGAAATTCTAGAGTTATTAAATTGGGAAGCATCTGAAATATTTTTAGCTCTTTCAAAGGTTTTAGAAGCCACATTAGCTAAAATCTAACCTTAGTTAGTCTTGGCTATGAAACCTATTATTCTTCTTTAATACCAAATGAATATTTTTATACATAGTGATTAAAAAATAAAGATAGCTTTGAACTAAAATTTCCCTAGAATCTAAATTTTCATAAAATAATTACAGCTTTTAAATTCTTGATTTGTTTTGTTAAATGTTAATAAGATTATTGGTTTATAAATTGATATAAATTAAAAAGAGCTGTTTAGTATTTCAGAAAGAACTTGAGGGAAAACTGAAGGTGAAATTTGCTTGGAAATTAAGTTATCTAAACCATTTTATGGCCTGTGGGATTTTTTAGCTTTTTGTTTCAGCTTTAAATATGAACAGTTAATTTCTTGATCCATGCTTTGATTAAATTTTAGCTCTGTTCCTTAAAGTTTGCAAAAGAAATGTAAGTGCATTTCTAGTCACCTCATGCCACTGAAAACTATTTAAAAGTGAAAGTTTTTGTATATTAATGTGAACTGATTTGTTTAAACTTTTATTTTGATACAGTTTTCTTTCAGATTTTTTTATATTCATGTCACAATATGCAGTTTTATATTTTTCAGTGTTTATTTTATAAATATTAATGAGCTTTTTTCTAGAATGATTAACTGTGTAATATTTGTATTATGTGATCATTTGAAAACTAATAAATATTTTCTCCATAAAAAATGCACTTACTGATAAATGGTTTATTTCTGTTTCAGGAGTAGCAAATGAATACCACAACAATATTTTTAAGTGTATTTTGATTTTATGTGTCTTCCTTTACATATTTCTAAATATATATCTTTTCTTTGTGTATGTTAAATATCTTTTTGAGAAAAAAGATTTTTGATTGTTAAAATGAATATTTGCTAGGTCACCAACTGCTAAATACATTAAATAGGTGATCTCTTTTAATCTGTTTTCATGTATTTTTGATTGGCCTCATATTTGATTGTTTCTGGAATTGAAAATTTTCAGCCCTTTTTTAGCTATCAATTTTAAAAGGCATCAAAATTCTTGAGCTAATATTGTATATTTTAGCTTTAATGTACTACTTAATATTATAAATGTTAGTTACAAATATTAACTAGTACAGTAAAATCCTTTAAAATGGGATTGATCAGAATATAACCCCTTCTGAAACAGTGTATGAAAGACAGTTGTTTTTACCCAGAAAAAGAACATTTGAAAAGAATGGCTATAAACTCTCCTACTAAGCCTTACAACAGAAGAATAAAAATGGTGCATGTTTTAGTGTTCTGTTTAAACAGTCGGAGAACTCTTAAGAGTTTCTTGCTTTTAATCTCATGAAGACTACATGGAAACAAATAGAATTTAGTTTTAATGATTTTTGTCTTTATAGTTGCATAACCTTATCTATGCATGGTCTGCTAGAAGCAAGAAGATTTTCCTTTTGATTTGAAGAAAACATATAAGAAGTGGACTCCAAAAAATAAAAATATCATAGGGTCCTAAGCTAGAAATAAAAATTTATTTAATGACAACTGTGATTAAAGTGAAGTAATTTGACTCTCCAAAGACTATAGTCTGATTATAAAAGAAATTATGGTATAAATAGCTCCTGCATTTGGGAAGTGGGAAAAGAAGCTAAATGTTTCATTTATTTTTTAGCTGGTAAGTGTGAAAAAGATTCTATGGACAATATTTTGTTCTTAGAATTAAAAACTACAGAGAGGTGTATTTCAGTGGAAATTATTTTACTTGAATACAAAGAAAGAAAAAAATTACGAACTGTAACTTTATATGTATATAAAATGGTGGAGGGGATATTTAAAAATATTACACCTGGAACTTCAAATATACTACAAAAGTAATGGTGAAACAAGAGTTTAAAAGAATTTTATTACTTTTTATGACGTGGTTTCTTTCCTGCATCATCAGTAACTTCAAAATAAAAATTCTACAGAATATTGAACTTGGCTTACCTTTATACCTTGAAGATATAAAACCATAGGCTTATTTCACCTTCATGCATTGGATTAACTATTGTGTGCAATTTTTATTTATTTTTTCTAGCAAGAAAACAAAAGTTTTCTGTAACTTGAAAAAACTCACATAAGCAATGTGACTGCAAAATATCAGCCTTATAGCTGATTGCAAATATGTGCACACTTTATATTACTTTGGTATATTGAAATAGGCAAAATATCATTATGTAGATGTAGGCAATTTCTTGCCCTTTATTTGTACACTTTTAGTTTTTGTAAGAGAGGTTTCATTGGCCCTAAAATGTGAGAGATTTGTGTTTCAAACAAGCAGCACTTGTTTGCGCTTGTTTATTTCCCCACAAATATGTACATTTAAGATAATTACTGCACTAAAATGTTAGGGATCCTTGAAATGTGTCCATTGGCGTTTTCAGGAGTTGTGATCAAAGGGATCTCTACTCAAGAGGTAAGGCATGGCATAGGCTAAAAAAATTATCAAAATGTGTTCATTGTATTATCTGATGTTAAACTAAGACATAAAATTAGCAAAATCATTTTTCTTAGAATGTTTCCCAGAGAAGTGAAATGAAAAAATCACACACTTGTTTTTGTATTATGTTGGAGGATATTTAGAAACATTTGCTGACAGTACTTGGTCATCTATATTCCAAAGTGTCTTCCTCTTCCCCTTCTTAGTGTTTATGATCCGTATTTAATTTAGTATTTCTTGAGCTTTATACTCAAGCATATGTATTGTACTCTGCAGGGAAATCTAAATTCAGATTCAAATGCCAGGCTTTAGTTTTACTTGCGTACACCTATTTTGTTGTTGTTGTTGTTGTTAAATGGTATCCAGAATTTGAGAAACAGTGGTTTTACTTAGTAATCTTTATTTTGGTTTGAGAAATCCATCCAAATCTTTTTCATATGCATTCTCTTAAATACCAATTCAAGGATTATATTAGTAATTGAGAAATAATATTATTGGAGCCACAGAGATAGTACAGTGGATAAGGCACATGCCTTGCACACGGCTGACCCATGTTTGGTCCCCTGGCACCACACATGGTCTTCCAAATTCTCCAGGATGTGATCTCTTCTGGGTGTGATCACTGCTGCTTGTGAAGGAAAATTAATATAACTGACTAGTAGATAAAACCTGTCAAAAAAGAAAGTTGTACCATTATCTTACAAGAAATATTAAATAGGTTAAAAGAAAAAAAAGTTAAGTATGAGTCTAGAGAGAGAGTACAGAGACGAAGTCATTTACTTTGCAAATGGCTGACCCCTGTTTGATTCTCTGGCACTGCATATGGTCCCCCAAGGCACTGCTAAGGGTTGCTCCTGAGCTTGCTTCCTCCGCAAAAAAAGTGTATATTTATATATATGTATATTTGTGTATGTATACATATATATGTATATCCACAATAATAAAGTAGCTAACTATTATAGTATTTAGTGTATTTAGAGGAAATGCACTGCTCAATATATCTAAGCAGGGGAAATAAAATTTTTCAAACAAGATTCTTTAATAGAATTAAATTACTAGTATAGTTTACTTAATAAATGACATCATAGAGAACTGTAATCTTCTTAATTCTTTACAAAAGCACCAGCTTGTTGGCGTTTGGCCTTTGCTTAATGTACTGTTACTCTTTTGCCTGTATGTAGAGCAAATGGTTATGGAACTCACTGCTTCATAAAGTAGCCAATTCCATGGTTAGAATGCTCTTAATAAATTGATTCAGAATTTGATTATATATAAATACATGTTTCTATACGTATATGTATGCATATACACATACACACATTATGTGTGTGTGTTGTTTGAGGGACACGTCCAGTGGTTCTCAGTGCTTTCTGCTGGCTCTGCTCAGGAATCACTCTTGGTGGTTCTCGGCAGATAAGTAGGTTGCAGGAGATTAAACCCAGTTTTGATCTACCTGCTGTAATATTCAACACCACTTCCATGTCATTTTAAAATTAAAAGTTAACTATTTTTATTTTGGAGCCACACCCAGCGGTACTTAAGGATTATTCCTGACTCTGTGCTCAGGGATTACTCCTGGCAGGGTTTAGGGAACCAGGAGGGATATCAGGGATTGAATCCAGGTCAGCCATGTGAAACTCAACTGCCCTACCCACTGTACTATGACTCCAGCCCCTTAAATTGAAAGTTATAATTACCTGTAGCACTATAGCACTGGCCTCCCGTTGTTCATTGATTTGCTCGAGCAGGCTCAGTAACATCTCATTGTGAGACTTGTTACTGTGTTTGGCGTATCGAATACGTCACGGGTAGCTTGCCAGGTTTTGCCATGCGGGTGAGATACTCTCGGTAGCTTGCTGGGCTCTCCGAGAGGGGTGGAGGAATCGAAACCAGTTCGGCCGAGTTGGCTGCGTGCAAGGCAGACGTCCTACCCTCTGTGCTATCGCTCCAGCCCATAATTACCTATTTTTTTTTAAATAACCATAGTTTTACTCTAGAAGATGATAGCTGTCTGGATCTATCATAGATTTCCAATATCCTGCTATTGATAAGACAAAATAATTGTAGGATTTAGGTCTCTTGACTGCATTCTTAGAGAGCTGTACTGGAGTCTATCTGCCTCCTCATGATGATCCCAGTTCTGTATTACATGGCAAGTCTAATTTCCTTCATAGATGACAACGTTCTGATAGTTAAAGATCACTATTACACCCCGTCAATTCCAAGGATTTTAGGGGATTTGTTTTTTCTTGCAAGCTAATAACCTCCATTTTACAAACCCTATTTATATACCAAATGATTCTAAAACAGTGAATCTTCTCTGAAAAATAATTTATCATTGTCTTAAAGTGCAACTCTAAACCAGCACAGTGCAGGGTTACACTTCCTGCCCTGAAATATTTGCCTCTTTATATATTTATCCAGTCAGGTATGCATGTTGTATGCATGTTGTATTTTTTTGGCAGGAGAGTAATACATAAGATAGCTTATTAAAATTAGGTAATGTATTCAAGTGAGGACTAATGTACACATTTAAATGTAAGAGAAAACATTGACATGACGTAATATTTAAGACCTTGAGAAAGCATTATTT